GAAGAGATGTTTACTGTGGCTGGGAATGGGTCCTGAACGGAATTCAAATGTGTGTATTAAAGCAGGATTATTTCCACTGGCAACTGTACCTCCTGGACTCATTTTTCTTTAAGGCATATCTCTGCAATTATCATGGAAATCAAGAACACTGAAGGAAGGAGCCTGGAAAATATAACTTTCTGATGGAGAGAGTAAACAACCGTCCCATTTCAATGAGCATTTCGGTGTGCATTTTCATGTTCCAAAACTTGGTGTTATCTAACTTTTTTTACTGACTTCTCAAGTACTTTTTACAAGGTCCACAACACAAAGCATCAGTGGTGCATACCGAAATAGCAAAGGAATAATGCTATGCTTAAACCATGTCACTTTGGTCCCTTCTTTTTTCCACCTCTTCTGGCAGGACATCATCCTGCGCTGTGGACATCACCAAGAGTTACTTTACAGAAAGGCAGGAGTCTGGTGGTCCAGTTGGGAACCTTGCTGAAAGACCCTTTATGGTGTTGGTTACTTCCAACATGCAATACAAGGTAGTTTAGTGAGGATATCCAGTTAAAAAAAAACAGGGGCAAAGGCTCAAGGAGGTGATGCTTTCCTGGAGAGGAAGAGCAGCCGACCCGCAGGCTCCGCTCCCGAGTGGATCCCGTCTGCGCTGGCACAGGCACAAGGTGGTGTGATCTGCCTGAGCCTGCACACACTGAAAACAGAGCGGAAACTGCTTTGAGGGTGCTTGAATTTAGCGTAGAAGCAGCAAACTTTTGGATTTAACTACTGTTAACTGCAAGAGTGAGTATTCCCCTAGACTTAGTAAGGCTTTGCTTGCATATATGCTTATAGGACAGTGCGTACTTATGTAACATGCAGGGTCACAGGCTGCCTATTCATTGCTACAGGATTAATACTAAATTACTCCTTTTGCTCACAAGGAGTAAACTCTTAAAACTGATTTCAGAGACATCCTAATTCCTTTAGGACAAATAAAAATCCTGTTTTGTTTAAGTGTTTGTGATCTGATCATGGTATATATGTGGGTGTCTATGTATAGGCTACATGATTAGTTCAATTGCCTTTAATGAATTTGTGTCTTATATTGTAAAGGACACAGTTTTAATTCAGCTTAGTTGATTACTGTACTTTTTGCATGAAGAGTGCAAGTTTGGGTTTTAACTCAGAAATAGTCACAGCTGTTACCTATAAAGGGTCAGTTTTTTAAAAATCAATTACACTGCACAAGGTGAGTTGTAGTTGAGCTCGGATTCTGCAATAGTGCTCTCTGTATTTGTGTGAGAATAGTAGATTATTATTTTCTTATAATGCAAGTAGTCATGGATGGTAAAGGCTTAAGTGGTCAGACATTATCAGCAGACTAGTACCTACCAAATATCAATAAACACATTCGTGTTCTGTTTTGGTTGTTAGATGACTTTTTGGGAGATCTAAAGTGTTATGTGTAAGTTTCTGTTTAGCTTTGGACACTTTTTTTTTTTTTGGGTAAGTTGTTTTACTGATCTTTCGTCTTGGAACTAGCATGTCCTATGATCTGTGATTTCAAGAAGTTTTATATATCTATTTCTATATATATACGTACACACGGAACTATAAATATGTGCCAAACCAGTGTGTACAAAGCATCAAAAAGCAAAGGGTTATTTTATGTCTGAAGGGCAGATGTGACTGTGCTTCCTATTAAACAAGCATGGCAAGGCTCAGGAAGTGAACCCTCACCATCATGTTTAATCCTCCAAAAGTAACCTTCCTAAAGGAAAACTTCTCTGATATGGCAACCCCTCAAGATGCCTTTTTTTTTGTTTTGTTTTGTTTTGCAATCTGTGTGCTTACACATACAAGTCTGGCTTAAATTTGATACCCTAAAATAACAGACTGAAGGCCCAGATAAAAATATATATATAGTTCTGGTCTTGAGGTTTTTTGAATTCGTTTAAGCTGAATGGAGTTTTTGATTTTGTTTTCAGCAAATGCAGTCAAGGTTGCATAACTGCATTGAAGTGAGAAGATTTTAAGGCCATTCCGAACCTTTATAATTTATATTTTCAGGATTGTAGGAGAATATATTTTGTGTAATATGGCCACTGTTGGGACATTGACTCAGTTTTGACTGTCAGGAAAGGAGCCTATTTAGTGAATCACCAGTTTTGATGCATTGCCTAAATCTAACCTTGTTTATGCTGCAGAAGTAAATGAGATCATAATATGAGAAACATTTCAAAATCTAACAACTGTATTGAGTTTGTAAGAATCTGCATTCATTGCCTTTATCTCCTGAATAAATTTGAAGGCTTGAATAGATTAGCAGGCTGTGTAATGAGATGGGAATGCATTATTTTGAATGGATCTGGATTGATTTAGACAGGTTTTGGGTTAATTATGTTTGAGGCACTTTGGCTGTGACTAATAAGAAAATTACATGTTATCTAAACTAAGCATAGAAACAGAACTACTTTGCTCAAATGCTCCAGCTTCTTCTGTGATGTCAGTAGCCACACTTGTCCAGAAGAATATTTATGCAGAAAATAAAATACTGTGAGGTGAATGGATAGAGCTGTTGGTCTGCCTCTATCACAAGACCCTTGCGATAACTCTTCTATCGTGCTGTGTCTCAGCCAATCTCTCTTCAGCTGTTTCACAGGGATGTGCTCTACAAGTATCTTGTGATGCTCTGCGTGATGTTTAATCTTAAGTAACATTCCTTAATCTTAAAGCCACATATTAGTATGTAAAAGGGAAAGCAGGGGGAAAGGAGAGGAAGAAGTAATTTTCTGTGAGCAGATAGATAAGAACAAAACAGAGAACAGAGTAAAGGCTTTGACGTAGTGCCATAACAGGCAGATTCTAATATACCAACAAACTGTTTGTATACAGATCCGGTGTAAATAATTTTTGCATGTGTTTTTATTAAATGCATTAACTTTTCAGACCCCGGTCACTATTATTTTTTAGATGCATTTAAATGCTTAATTTACATTATAAAATATAATTATGGATTGTATTAGTAATGAGTAAATTTTACTATGAATGAACACAAGCATAAGTGTTAGGAAGAATATTTTAATAATTGCTTTATTATCTTTGTGCTTTTTAATATGCATGAAAATCTCCTGAGGTAGATAACTACTGTAACAGCTGTTCCCATTTTACAGGTGGGACAAGGAAAGGTTAAAAAACTGTGAACTTGCCCAAAGTTTCAGTGGGACTGAGTGGTCAGAAGAGAGTCAAAAAATAGTGGTAATTTGTCCTTCAGCTGTTACCTGAGCATGTCTCTATGGCAAAAACCTATGGATGTCTCAGACTGTCAGTGTAGCAAAGTCCAATATGTTCTTTCTTCCTGTCTGAATGTCTTTTATTCCTTGTAACAAATTTTATCCTCTCTGTAGTTTACCACTGTGTGATGTACTCAATCCTTTAAAATAAAGTATGCACCTTTATTTGTTGTATTGTCTAGGGACATCCAACCAGACAATGTTTCTTAAAATTCTTAGCTTCCAAATATACATGACAGACTTAGAGTTCCAATAACATATTGGACTAGGATTCAGTGTGTATCCGATATAAGATCCCCACTCAAAAAGGCCCTGTTGCGAAGCAATAAATCTAGTTTTAGTGTTATATTTTGCTGTCTTCCTCCCGGGGCTTCTTCGTGTAGTATCGCGTGCTCTTCCATGGCTCCCTGCCAGTTCCCTTCATCGGGAGACGCTGTTGTGGCCCGTGCCTGCAGCCACGGGGTGGCTGGTCTGTTTGCACCAGCAGGCTGCTAACCTCCCGTTTCTGTCTCCATAACACATAGTGGGATCCTCTTATATTCTGCAGGAGAATCCATATAGCCATTTATTCTGCGTAAAGCAGAAGCATCCTGGATGTTATCGATCCAACTGGAACTGGTCTGGTTTGGAGCCATTATCAGTAAGGCATGTTGTTTCCTCCTGATGACATTTCTGTCTCGCCTCTTCCTTTCCTCCTCGCAATATGGTCCCTACTACATGTCTGTGCAAAGGAGGGAAGGAGAGTTGTGATGTCCTTTGGTGTGAACTACTCATTCCCCTTTCATTTCCCTGAGGTTTGAGACATTGTAATGAAAGGGTGAAGCTGAGTCCCTCTCCCAGTGAATTCCACTGCCACAAGCTTTATCAAAGCAGTTCACATCCTGCATATGGCTTGATTTAGAGACTCAATTAAGAGGAAACATTAAAGAGATGGGGAGAAGAGGGGAAAATGAGATGTGTGTGAACTGCTAATTATTTACTTAAATAATTCAGTGGTTTTTCACTAATAGGTTGGGAAGTAAATACCACTTCACATAAGTGTAGTATTCCATTATTTATTCACTGTTGAAATTGGGGTTTAATTAAGACTAAAGCCTAAGACTTTAAACCCTTAATGAAACATGTTCCTCTGTATAGCCTGTAAAGTGGTGAAGGCTGGTATTCCTTAACACAGAAGCAGATTATGCCACAGTACAGAATGCTGTTGTTTTACTAAGCAGTATTTTAATTTCTAGAAGATAATGACAGCTTTATTAACTGTCATTTTTCTCTTTATGTAGAACTTTTGTTTATAGTGTTCATTCTGCTGATGATTAGTATGTGGGTAAGCGTGTGTATTGTGCTGAGAACAGGCAGGGATTCATGTCCGCTCTTCAGTGGGACATGGAGAACTGGTAGTGATCAATGATCACCCTTTTGAACTTTCCCATAGTGATTACAAGGCTTGTGATTTAGCTGTTTTGTCACCACACATCCATCTAATGATGTACAAATCTGGTCCGTGTTGGAAGTGAATAAAATACAGTAGAAGCATTCTTGGAGAGTGCTTTATCCTATGCTGATCAGCGGAAGGAGAAAAAGAAACAGAAAGTTCACATTTTCAAAGAGTCTTGGAGTCCCCCAGAAGAGGTTTTAGCTTTTTACATGCTGTTTCTTCCATTTTATAGTTGAAACTTGTATAAAGTCCACACAGATAGGTGGTAAATGGAAAAACCTGTAGCCTGCTGTTTGACTGCTTGTGGAATATAGTCTGCTTTGTCTATGACATGGGCTGGTTTCTTGTTGGTGGCGTGTTTTTTAAGAAGTCTATATTTTAGTAAAATCCCAAGTATTCTATCAGGTGAAATAGAGACTATTCCTGTGAAACCATGCCAATACCTTCAGGCCAGGATTAAGGCATGCATTTTGAAAAGCAAGATTAATTAGCTGTTGGAATAATTTACGTATAGATTGGGTGGATACTTTTTAACGAGGCCTGGATCTCTTTTTCCAGTCTAACCAAAAGTTATAGGTCTGGTACTGAAATTCTTGGATGTGTTTCTGTAATTGAACTTGCATTATGTTAGAAGGTTGGACTAGGTAGTAATAAATGCATTCTGACTTCGTATACTCTGCACTGGGAAAAAAAAAGCTATCACTTGCTCTTAGCAAGTTATTGTCTGGTTTGAGATGCTGTTAAATTAGTTTCACATGTACATATATTATAGTGATTTCTGCAAGCCAATAAAAGTAGGAAAACCTCGATAAATTTCTGAAAATTAATTATTTATTTGTATTATAATTTAAACACTTTTTTTTTTTTAACCTTTGACAAAAATTAGGATGCCTTTTACATATTTTCTGGATAGTAATTAGAATAAACTATTGATGCCCTGCATAATGGAGGAGCAGCAACAAAACCCATTTTCTATTAATGTAGTATTTGCGTTTGTAGTATTGTAGTTTGCTTGATTTTTATTTATTTATTTTTAATATGTCTATGTATTAATTTTCAGGAAGCCTGGAGAACAGAAACATTCCAAAGAGCCTTCATCTTTACAGGGCATGCATCTGGCAGTTGTGGCATGTGGGGACCGGCTGGAAGAGACTCTCACCATGCTGAAATCAGCAGTTCTCTTCAGCAACAGAAGGCTCTGTTTTCACATTTTTGCTGAGGATTCTCTTAAGCCTGAATTTGAGGAGAAGGTGAGTTTCTTTGTCATTTGGTAAATAAATTATATATGTATATAAAATATATACAATATAATTACAATCTACAAATCTCTGACAGAGATACTTCAACTTTAAAAAATTGCTTAGTTGCTGTTATTTCCATAAGCATGTTTCTAAATTTCTTATGCATGCATATTCAAACAAACAAAAAGCTGTGTAATGTTTAATTCCTTCCCTGGTGTCTTTCAGCTACAGGAATGGCCTTCCTCATATACAAAGAAGTTTGAGTACAACATTTACCCAATAACCTTCTCAGTGGGAAATGCTCAGGAATGGAAAAAGTTATTCAAACCATGTGCTGCCCAGCGCCTTTTTCTTCCGGTAAGGCACCTGGATTTCTGAGTAGGTCGCTTCAGGAAAAGGTTTATTCCACAGAAAGGAAGTTTTGCTGGTGTAATATTAAAATCATTTTCAAGGTGAATCTTCTGTTCAATGATATTTTAATTTGTACTTTAGCCACTTAAAGAACAAAACTGAAATCCTCCTTCTCCTGCTAGAAAAGAATGTGTGTTTTTTGTTCGTCTCCAGTTCTGTTAGGCTCTCAGACCCTTTAAGCTCAGGGCTAGAGCTCTTTCAAGGCAGATGCTGCATGCTTTCCATAAATAACATTCTTCTGAGCGTCCAGTCATCATATCCTCTTTACCCACTATTTCTCTTGGCATCTGTTAGCCGTTCAACTGATGATTTCAGGAATCTCCTTTCCTTGTATTTTTCGTGTGGTGTCCTAGACTTTCAGATCTCCCTGAAAGACGGTAATTCAAGGTGCTTAGCAAGAGGATTTCATGCAAGAGTCCCATGTTTTCCTCAAATCCTCTTGTTCATTAACATTTGTATTCTTTACTCTCTAATACTTAACTGTCATAAACTGGGAAAGTAGTTCAGGTTGCTAGAGAGGAAGGAGGAGTAAATAATAACTTTGCTTATGCAGGATTCTCTGAATTTAAAAGAACTGCTTAAACCAATTTTTGTGGCACTTGGGAACACACATCAGAAATAATCTGTGAATTGTTAATTGGGGTGACTCTAGTAAATTTACAGGCAACTCGCATGATCCAGATTTTTTCATTGCTCTCCTGTGAGAAAGGAGGGACAGAGAAATCTTTACTTTCTCAGATGGAAACAATCAGGAGACAGCTGCACGCCCAGATATGTACACTATGAATACATATGTGAGAAAATATGTGCTGTCAGCAGTTCTGTTTATCTGCCGTTTAGAAGGAGATTTTCAAATGCACAGGACCAGATGGGCTGGAAGTAACTTGAACTTCAGCAGAGATCCTTTCTTCCCTGACTTTTTCTTCTTTGTATCACCTGGAAAACTAATCTTAAGTTTGCTCAATACAGTTTTATATTGATGAGGATTTTGTTGAACACAGTTATTTTCAATAGATAAATGCAGTCCTCCTATTTCTGTAGTATATTTTCTTACAGACCTCTCCCCACAGAAGCCGTTGCGCTTTTTGTGATCCTAACTTTTCTGATGACAGAAAGGGTTATGTGTTCATAGCAGTGTCTTTAGGCTGGGCAGTGCTTTTCAGATCTCTTTTTGTTACTTGCATGTTGCCTGCATTTGGTGGAGTTCTCCAGTAACTTTTCTGTCTTCGCAGAATTGTGAGGCAACTTGCACTGTAACTGTTTCTCTTGGGGGAATTGCAAGTTGTGGTGTGATAGGGCTGAAAACATTCAGCTCCCTCTGTGTTCTTTTTCTTATTGTTATTAATAGCATGCTGAGGTTTATGGCTTGAATAGAAGTAGTTGTGTGAGAACAGTTGCAGCTGACACAAAGTTGATGGGGTTGAGAGGAGGAAAAAAAAAAGTTAAGGAAAAGTCGAGGAAAGCAAGTTGTGGTAATAACTGAAGTGGCAAGTTTGACTTCTGGTGCTCAAGTTCACAGCCTGACAGAACCTTAGGCTGTTATTGGGTCTCTTCAGCTGCTGTTATTTTTACTGGTGCTTGATAATTAGCTTCTGATGTCCCCTTTGAATGAAATGTTGCTGTAGAAATCCAAACCTTTCTTCTCCTGGGCTTTGTACCTTTGAAGGAACCATGTCTGTAGTGAACCACAGCAGTTGAACTAGCACAGAAGTCAATCTTTTCACATAGGGAGCAAATTACATCTAGGACCCTGGTGTTCAGATTCTCACCTTGCTTTAATATGTGATTTAAGGATCCTGGGAGATCACCTCATCTCTCGAGAGAAATGAACGACTGTTTATAAAAGTTGGTGTGACTTCTTAAGATACCATGACCAGAGGGCTGGTAAAAGAGAATCCTTCTTGGAAGGCCTTCAGTTTTAAAGACTTTCTCTCCTTGTTCCTCTTCAAATAATAGTTATTGCCCATTGGGGAGGTTTTAAGTCCTGGCTGTTCATCCAGACTTTTCCAGGAAGGGCAGTCCACACAGCAGGAGTGGAAGGTTGTATGAATAGGGGAGGATTTCTAATGTGCTTGTTTAGATGGCTATTTTGAGTGGTATTTTAAATAAATACCAGCAGGATGTCAGTAAGTACTCTTCCTTTTTTTTTTTTTTTTTCTCCCATATCCTTTCGTGTCCTAAGCATTTTTAACTGCAGTGGCATAGAGCATTAGGGAGGATCTCAGGAGAGCAGCAGTGCTGTTTATCAGCTGGTTAGCCCTCAGCTGTGCGGATGCTCTGGTTCCTGATAGTGCCAACCTGAGGGGAACGTGAGCTACTGATTCACAAGCGCCTCTCGTGCCAAGGAAGTCTCTTCTACAGCCCCAACAGGCGCTTGGAAGGTAGAAGGAATGTGTTCGAGGGAACTTGTATGAAAACTTTCAGGGGTTTTACTTGCTGATAAATCTAGAACTCTGGGATATGTTCTTGTACCCTGTAGTAATGAAGTGTTTTATCCTATATAGCACACTGATATACAGTCTGAATTTACATGGATTAGGGAAATACTAGGGAAGATGACAGGATCCTGCATTTTGGAGAGGAATTCTGTGACATCTGATCATATACTTGCTAAATAGACTTAAAGAAAACACACTGAATCTCAGTGTAATCTGGTAAAAAGTCTATAGTGAATTTTTTGCTGCAGTCTATTTTGTCTGCAGTCTATTTCTGTGAAACCATATTGTAGAATCTAAAAGGCTGTAGACCACTGTAAAATCTAAGGGAAAATGTGGAATTTAACAATAACACAAAGTGAAATGTTAAAAATTAACCAAAGTTAACGGTATGTTTTATTCTAGCCCCTTGAGGATGGACTGGTGGTAGCATGACAGTGCCATGTATCACTATGAGGAGAGTATTGTTTTTAGGAGGATAATGCTCTTGTCAAGCATTACCTGGCCTATTTTTGTAAACAGGAGAGACAGGATGGTAAAATTTGCCTTACTGAGTAGCACTTTCATCCATGTGTCATCCAGCTCAGGGCAGGAGGGCATGGTTGTTCCTCATCGTTTCGTTTTGGTCAAGAATGAGCCTTCACGAGGCCAGCTTTTACCTTTATGAATAGTTAAAGCGGGCAGCTGTGGCCTCACTGGACCATAAGAATCACTGAGATAATCCCAAATATCTGTTCTTTGCATCTTTGCAATGAGAGATCAACTGTGGGGTGGAACCTGTTTTATAGCAGTAACATGGATATTAAGATTCAGAGAGGAAAAGCTGTGCGGTCTAGTCTTGTGGACATTATATTCTATAGACATTGCTTGCAGCAGTCTGTGTGGTTCTGGAGTTAGCAAAACAGTCAGCTAAAGTATGATAAAATGTTTAAGGGATTTTTGGATGACTCTAGTTCCAATAGTAACTAACATTTAGAACCCTTCTCAAGACACTTAATCCACTTAAGAGCTTTTAAGTTACATTGGCATGATCCCTGTGTTATAGTTCTCCTCTTGAGTACCCTGAAGTAACCTACCCAGTGGATCAGTGGCAACACTGGGAATAGATGCCAGGCCTTTATCTAGACAAAGACTCTGGCTCCACTGTAACCTAATTGCTAATTACAATTTGATTAATTAACTCAACTTAGTGGAACTGCTACGTAAACATGAAATGAAAGCTTAACTGAGATTTGTCCCTGGTTTCTGGATAAAAAACTGATAAACTCACATGCTAGTCAGTCCACGCCATGAGGTAGCACAACTTCCCAGCACATCAGCACGTGTTTTCAGATGTGTGTTGTTACTTGCCAGCCTTGCTAACACAATCTAGAGAGACAGAAGTTATGAAATCAAATTAGAACTAATTGAGTGTTTAAGTGGAGTGTCAGGCTAAGTATAGCAAATTCTGAGTAGAACTTTGACAGGTTTATTCAGAAAATCCTATAAAACTGCAAAAAATGTTACAGTTCTTTTAAGCTGTAAGTGCCTGTAGAGTGACGAAGATGACAACAGCAGTCACCCCGTATTCCTGGCCATCTGTTTCAAGAATCACAGGCAGTCAGGTGTGTAGACATGGCATGCGCGGCGCTTTACCCCTGTGTTGCTCATGCTCTAGGTCACTCAGCTGAATGTCACCTGTAACCTGCAGGCACGTCCCTCTGTGCCACCCTCCTGGCAGACTCTGTGACAGCCCTGGGTGAGCAGCGTGGGCAGAACTAGCTCCACTAGCTCCCTCATGGTGCTAGACTGCTCCCCCATGTAGTGTTAAGTATGGGAACCCAAGATATTCCATATTTATTTCAAACATTAGGTTCTTCGTTCTTTTATTAGCCTTTTATTAGGCTCCTAATATCACTCGCTGATGCTTTCATGTGCTAGTTTTGCTATTTAGCTACGGGGCAGAAGAAAACAGTGGAAAAAATTCTCCCTAGTGTATTTCTCTCGCCTTCCACCCGACAGTGGTCGATGTTGTGATTGACTTGTTTACATGGAGCTTCTTGTAAGAATAACTTGTGTTTAAAAGGCACAGACATTTCCCTTGTCCTGCTGTGTAGGTAGAACATAATAGTTACTGTGTCAGAAATGTGGCCCAGGGCTTTGTCAAACTTGGCTAAATGTCAATTTGAATCCTAACATGTGCAGTCAAGTGACTGAAAATCTCATTTAAGTCAGGATTTGGAATCATAATGGAGGGCTTTTGAGCATGCTTGGAAGTGTAATTTTGAAAAAATAGTTCACTCTGTGCTTCACAAGTAATCTTTTGTGAGAATATACTTCAGTTCATATAAAAGTCAGATTTTTAATAGAGCTTCTTAAGTTACCCTCATAGATAGGATTTGGCAATAGTATAATTGCAAGTGGACGGGTGAGTGATTGTTTCTTTCCATGACCTGATGTAAATTGTTAGTTGTTTGCATTTGTCTTTCGAGTAAAGGAAAAAGAAAAACAGAACTTCTGGCTTAGACTGAGGTGAGAAAATTTTAGTTGTCCAGGAGTTTTTGCACAGTTTTAAAAACAGAAGAGGGGGGGGGAAAAAAAAAAAAAAAAAAGTCTGTTAGCCAACCTGCCTTGCAAATGACCTAGCAAAGAGGCAGTGCAAACGTCAAGGGAATTCTCACCTACTGTTGAAGCACTGTGTAATTTGCCCTGCTAAAATTAATGAATGAACATGTAAGGATTTGGATAGCCACCAGGGGGAACATTGTCAACAAGGATAGATTATATATCCTGGATCTCATTATTTTACAATTTACTCCAGTTTTGCTCCCCTGTGACTTGACTACTGTGATTATTCCTGATATAGACTCCGATAACAGATCAGAATCTGGCATGTAAACGACATTTCCATGTAGCAAGCAGAGTTTGCTCTTTAAATGCTCGCTAATGATCACAAAAAATAAGTGAGTTGTTCTTTTTTAATTAAAGTAGAGCCTTTCTGTGTGTTTAATTAGGTTGTGTTGGCTGATTGTGAAAGCATCTGAAGCACACATACACATAGAGCAGCAGTTTCATGCTATATTATATAGTACATTATCAATATTAATCCTTTCAGAATCTATACCCTACTGTATGCCAAAAATACATCTTATTTCTATGGTTAGTTTTCCTGTACAACCATACCACTTAGATCTTTAAAAGAACTAACAAGGCTATGCAGATATATATTCATTGCATTTTATTTCTGAACTTATATTAAGTAGGCCTTGCAGGCTATATCACAGGCTGTTTTGAAAGCTAAATGGATTACACAGGAAGATTAGGATCTGACTTCTGTGCTCTGGAAGCTGTTTTGCCTGGCAGGTTTAAAAAAAAAATTATGTGATAACTGTTGTTTTGGTATGTAATGGCATTCAGCTAGTGAGTCAGTAACTTTTTAAAAATTCTTAGTTTAAAATTAAGTGTCTTTGCTAATAATCTTCCTTTTTGTTGTCTGCTTGTTTTCTTTTTCATCTCTCCTCCTCTCTGTGCAACGCCACAAGGTTATTCTAAAGGAGGTGGACTCTCTTCTTTATGTGGACACTGATGTTCTCTTTCTGCGGCCCATCGATGATATCTGGCACGTCCTGAAGGAGTTCAACTCCACACAGCTGGCCGCTATGGCCCCCGAGCATGAGATACCAAAGATTGGCTGGTACAGTCGCTTTGCTCGTCACCCCTATTACGGGACAACAGGAGTCAATTCTGGAGTCATGCTAATGAACTTAACCCGCATACGCAATACTCAGTTCAAGGTGAGAAGAAATAAAACTGTTGCAGAAACTAGTGGGGTTTGTTTGATTGGTTTGTTTTTTTTTGTAAGATATATTTTATATGGTATTAAAAGTGAAGTTCAGAATTTAAAGAATCTTTAAAATATAGAATGCCTGTTTGGATATAGAAATCCAAAGAATTTTGGTGAAAATAATTGTCAAATAAAACTTCCCGATTGAATTGGTGGTGCACTGAGAACTTGCAGATGAAACAGTATAACTTCTTTGACAGGTTTCTTTCACGTACCTTTGAAGGGAGGATATTCAGAGTAGTCTTAGTATTTTTTTATGTTTAAAATAGTTTAAAAAATACGAAATTTGAGGCAAACATCCAACATTTGTTGTGTGTTGTTTTGGGTTTTGTTTCTTTTGTTTTTGGAATCCTGTTGTAGATCAAGTGATTCTGTCAACTGATATAAATGAAGGGATCCCTATTGCTCTTTACAGTGATAATTCCCCCTTTTTGTGAAAGGCCTGACTTGTTAAATCTCTATTTGTGTTGGTGAACATTTATTCTCTTTAGAAACTTTGTTTACCTCTGAGTGGGCTCTGTCCTGAATCAAGGCAAGGGATTAACTCTATTATTACAGGAACAGCTTGAGTAAAAACTTGCTCTCGATATCATAATTCCCCTGAAAGGGAGAGAGGAGGTAACTTTTTAGCCTGAATTTTTCTCCTCTTCAACACTTCAGTTTTGATCTTGTCCCTCTTCTATCAAGCAATTCAAAAGAATGGATCCCAAACTCTTCCTACTCTTTGTATTTTTCACTTTTTCTCCATCCCATTGCTCAGAATAGAAAGGCTCTGAATAGCAGGAGCTGACATCAGAGCTGGACCCAGGAGACCTTGCTTTCCTGTTTAGTCAGATCAGGAGATCTGGTTGTATTCTATTTTTTCCAACACTTTTCATGTCTGACGTTTCTGATCAGTCCTTCATTCTTCATTTAGGTATCTGACGTGGTGTAGGAGACAGATAAATATGTGGGTGCCACTTTCTCAAAGTCATGTATGTCATTGCAGTTAACAGTATTAAACCACTGCTGCTTTTTTTCCCACCCCACAGAACAGCATGATACCATCCGGTTTGACTTGGGAGGAAATGCTGTACCCATTATACCAAAAGTACAAAAATTACATTACATGGGGAGACCAGGATTTACTAAATATTATTTTTTACTTTAACCCAGGTAAGAAATGATTCTTAGTCATGATTATCTGTAGTAACAAATTTCTTGAACTTGCAAAATTCAAAGAAAATGCTGCTCATTATTTTTAATGTGCTAATGTACTCATATACATAACGTGCATAACATGCAAGTCCACCTAGGACTTCCCATGAAAATAATTCTTAAGGTTGTACAGGTATCGGTTCTTTTGAAGATAGGAATCTGTTTTCTGAAGATTTTGAGCAAATAAGGAAACAAGCACATATATAGCTTGAACTTCATTCCTGCGTTCGATCATTATTTTCCTTTGTTTTTATTCCATATGTGCTCTGCTGGTCCAGAGCCTAACTGAACAGTATGTTTGTTTCAGGTGTTGATTTGAACATTAAATTGACAAACTTTCTTCAAAGCTATTCTCTATTCTTCTGAAAAGTAGTTGAATTCTGATATTTATGTAAACAAGTAGTACAAATAGAAAACAGACTCAGCTGTTGAATTATCTTCCTTACAAGTGTTGCCTGTCTTAGCTTTGCTCTTCTAAATCAAAGTTGTTTTTCAGAGAAAGAAGCTTCCTCCCTCTTGTCTGAATGACCCGTCCTCACTAAGCCCCAGCATGATGAGGTCATTTATACTTCCGTTTCTTAGCTGTGTGTGTATTTTATGCTCTTCCTTTATTCTGCTTCCTCTGAGACTATATGAACTATGAAGGACTTTAAATCTCTCAACTGTGTTCCCAGAGAACAGATGGGATAGATACCCCTCCTGTTTGAGAGGCTGAAAATGTGGAGCAGAGGGACAGTGTGACCAACAAATATGTACTTGCAATCCCAATAAAATGTAGTTTTGTCTGATTCATATCTGTCATTCATGCCCAGTGCCTCCTTAAACAACCTGTAGCATTTTCAGCTTGTCCTTCATTTCCCCCTGAACTGGAGTCTTACTTGCAAGAAAGCCTATTTTCAAAGCACCAACAAGTGTCTTCATTTTAAAAGGCTGTGGCTGTGAAACAGTTTCTGGAAATCCAGCCTCTTCTACATATTTTGCATTGATCACTCAGAAAGGACTTAAGGCTCTTCCAAAACCTTAACATTTGGAAATACAGGGATCTCAAAATTACAGCATTATACATGTTTCCCAAAGCAGCTAAGAATGTTGTTTCTTATATGAGAAACTTTTTTCTTATGTCTGAATATACTGAGTACCAATTCTTATTTGTTTTTGCTTCTTTCCTATGTGACCTTGTATCCCATCAAGTAATCTTGAGAATGGAATAAGTTTGGATTTATCTATGTTTTTTTCTGTTCCCTTTTATCTAAGGAGTCATAGGGTAGGTGATTGAATGTACCCAAATTCAGTCAAAAAAAAAAAAAAAAGGGAGAGAGCAAAAGTAAAGCAATAAAGTAACATCTGTATACTATAGACAGATGTCAGAAATCAGGCACACTATGCAGTGTGCAGCCTCAATTCTAGGGAGAAAAAAGTGGAAGAAATCTTCATTATGAAATAATAAATTGCTTTTTGGGAAGAAATGCATGTCATGTAAATGGGGTCTACCAGAGGAAGAAAAAAATGAATCCAGATTAGTTGTCAGGTCAAACTCAAACTGCTCACTTAAGAGTGCAAAAGAAAAGATTGCAAAAACATTTGAACTCTGTAATGAGAGGTTTCTGTATCAAATCCACATGTTGAGATTCTTTTCTGTACCACAGCCAGTCTTCTCCTCATAACTAGTAAATAACTTTTATGAATTATGTAACATCAGACTGCACAGAAAAAGAAAACAAAAGAACTCGAGGCTATTAAAACAGAAAACTAGACTTTCCTGAGGTTTTAAAATGCCGCATTGTTAAAAATGGCCTGGGAAGCATTCAGAAATGGGGGAAAAAAAAAAAAGTCATTTAGTTAAGTCCACTGCAGATGACTTTTTGTAGATGCATTGTATTGGCTAAGAATATGCAAAAGCTGCAGCCTGAAAAGAGGAGCCCTTTTTCCCATTTCCCAAGGCGGTTCTGATGTGCAGCAGATTTGAAGGCTTACAGAGCAACTAGAATCGGAGTCCAGCTGTGGCGGTAATGAATCTCTTAAGAGCATCTGGTGAGGAGAAGCTTTATGAATCCTCAAGTGCTGTGTACAAAAGCTGATCCGCACCTGGTGATGTCCTTTCACTAAAGTGACCTGTTGAGGAGTTGTACTTGGAAACGTTTGCTGAGGTTCACTGGAAAGATTCTTGTTAACTGTAACAGAATCAGGGAGGATTCAGGGAGATACTGTAAGAGATCAGGGTGCTACCGCTGCTCTGGGGAGCAATTCTGAATGTGTGATAAGTTAAACTAAAAGGAAACCACTTTAAAACTAGCCTTTCTTCAGCAGTATCCTGATAGGCCTTACAGAAAGAAGTGTCTTAAATATGTATGTTCTATTTCCTCAAGGATCACACAGGGCCACCACGGCCTTTCTAAGTATGATGAGTGGAAGGTAAAGAAAGTCCAAGTGATGAATTTCATCATCAAAGCTTCTGGCATGACCTGTCAGTACAGTGCAGTGATTCAATGTACTCCCATTTCCATTGCAGAAACACAGGGGTTACAGGGGTCAGCATGATTTATTTTAAGCATGTTGCAAATACTATAGATACATTGAGAAAGCTTTAAAAAACAGAAACAACCGCAATAGGGGAAGAGAGGTTACAAGCCCCTTTGAGGAATTAGACTATTAGGCTGGCTGGCAACCATTAGAAGGGTTGTGGATAAAATACACTGTATGGTTTGCTGTATCTTGGCATAGCAAACTGATAACCTCAATTGAAGCTTCAGTAGCAGAGAATGGACGTGCTTTGCGTGTTGTCTCCAGAGGATTCAGGATTTCACCTACCCCCCTGCTGTATGTGCTTTGCTAGTCATTTCTGTAGCTTCAAAAACTTCTAGGAGAGGGTGCTGTAAAGTACTGCATAATGCACAGTCTCCGGGTTTGATTCTGTCACGTTTAACTTTGTAAAGTGCACTCTTGGTTTGTATTTCCAGACAGTCTTTCTGTTTTGCTGTTTTTTGGGTAGTTCTAGTGTAACAGCGCTAAGACATGTATAGTCATCCCTGAAAAAAAAATGAAGCTTCTGTATCTCGTTGCTGCTTTAGATCTTGTGAGGAAAGTAACTTTAAATGGTTTTGATTGTCAGGCCCAGCTTTTCCCCAGAGACATGGTTTAACTTGTTTTAACTCTTATTCAACACGTCTTTCCCCGCTCTGCACCGTCTCTCCTGACTGACACTGCCAGAGTGTCTCTATGTGTTTCCCTGTCAATGGAACTACCGGCCTGATCACTGCATGTACGGGAGTAACTGCAAAGGTGCCGAGGAAGAAGGTGTCTCCATTCTGCATGGGAATAGAGGTGTCTACCACGATGACAAGCAGCCTACATTCAAGGCGCTCTATGAAGTGATACGTGATGTAAGTTTTCTATTTTGATAGACGGTTCTGTTTCAGTATAGATTATAACCTTAACCACATCACACAGATTAGACTGAGGATAGTCATACTTCACGCATACTTCACTGTCAGTCACAAAGTAACAAGGTTTCTTTGGCCTGTTCTATTTTACTCTGTGCGTGTATTTGAGAGAGATGGTTTCAGTCCTCTTCATGGTACGTGCTCCAGGGTTCCTTCACCTTCTTATTTGAAAGTTTGGTTTATATTCTCTTCCTGGTCCATATACAAAATAACAGACTGCCTGTCACAGTCTGCTGCGCCTGCCCATAATCTGCACATGTATGGATATGTACATGTGTGCTGAAGTTTCTTCATTCTCTTTCAAGTGCCAACCTAGGCTGAAGAGCATTGCAATAGCTATCCAGTGCTGGCCACAAGAAGGAGAGATGTTTCTATCTATTGCTCTGAAGAGAGTATTGAGTTGACTTAGGCTGAGTCTATGTCAGTAAGCAGCACCCCCCAGCAGGAGCAGACTTATGGAGCAAATCAGTTGTTGCTGATGATCTGATATCAACAGTCTCAGTGTTCAGGTTTGCTTCAAGCTAGCTTTGCACTGGTCCTATGGACTTGGAAGCCTCTTAGCAGATGTAATGTGTTAAGCGTGGAAAAAAAAACATCCTACAGGATGTTTTCACCTTTAGTTTTATCCAAAAGGAACTCCACTCCTGCTTTCCCAGACAGTGTCTACTCGCCATAATTTGGATTGCGTTGCTGAGCTATTGGGAGATTTGCTTTTTGCTTCAAAAGCAAACTCCTGATCTAAACAAAAACAGTACTGTTCACATGTCCTCGTGTGTTGCTCCATGGAATTGGTGCACCTTCAAGTAACTGCTTACCTGTGTACAACCTTACCCTCTGAAAAGGCTGGTTTCATTGCTGTATCTCTACGTTAGTAAACTTGCTTTAAATATAGAGTTTAGAAATACAATTTCTATGAAGTTAGGTGTTTCAGGCCTAGACAAACTTTTCTGAAAGCAAGTGCTCTAGAGCAGCCTGTCCAAATATCTGAAGCTGATAGGCTTTGATGACTTTGGAAAGCTGAGAAACAAGTCATCTCCTACCTGTATAGCGCTTTCTCTTACAGCAAATTTAAATGCCATTTTACAACCACTGAAAATAACAATCCTTTTTTTTTTTTTCTTTAGTTTCCTTTTGAAGACAATCTATTCCAGTCTTTGTACTACCCACTTCAGTCTAAGTTTCTGGATACAGTGCACACTTTATGTGGGAGAATTCCACAAGTCTTTTTGAAGCAAATTGAGAAAACTATGAAGAAGGTGTATGAAAATCGTGTCATTGTCTACTTGGGAGCCAACCACAGATACTAAAACTATATTTTTTGTAGAATTCTTCATTCTTTCACTCAGATGAGGCATATAAATGAAGAGCATATGACCTCTTCTACTTTCCTAATAAGTTCTGAAATTACAAAATGGGAGAAATGGTAAAAGTCCACATACTTTCATTTCTAGACTTTTTGTTCACTTCCTACATTTCTCTCAGTTGAAAGAAGGAGAGCTGATGACTCACTCTTCTTTGGTGAGTTTAGTTTGGTTATTTGTCTAAAGGTTTTAAGGTTGTGACGGCTTGATGCATTTTGAAGAAGTGACAGTTTGAGTTATTTAATACTAGGCAATAAAACTCTCAGTGGTTCTTAGGTGCCATGAGAATGACGACTTACAAAAAAGATCACTTTTATGAAAGGATGAGTTAAAGCTTACTATGCCAAAAGGAAAATATTTACATAAAATTGCACATCTCTGAAGATGAAGTGCCTGCTGTTCTCCACAGGTAGCATCGAAGATTTCTCACTTAAAAAGATTGGAGGGTAGAAGTGTCTATTTACTCTGCATTTAACAGCACTTTTTGCCTAGTGATTGTCATTTTTTTCCCCCTCTCACATTTAGTTGTTAATTCCTAATTCAGTTGTTAATTCCTGTTCAGTTAATTCCTAAAGGAATTAGGAGGAAAACCATTAAAGCATAAATAGGAAAACAGCCTGCAAGAAGAGGGAAGGGGAGCTACAAAGTTGCTGCAGAAAGGGAATCCTTCTTGCATAAAACACAGCTAAGGTGTTCACCCCCACCCTCCTCCTACCTCATTAAGAACATATCCCCTAACTTGCTAATTGTAATTACATTAGACACAGTGTGAGAATATGGTGAATGAACACAGAAGCAGGTGCTAGTGACCTGTTTTACTCTTTAATTAATCCTCTTTAATTGCTATTTACTGCACAGTAATAATTGTATGCCACTGAGAACCTTCCTTCCGTCCCTTTGTTGGGTGACTGGGAGCGCTGTCTCCGACCACCTCTTCTGTTTTGCCGAATCCCCCTTGTTCTGTGGCATAAAAATGTATCTCTTCCTGACCCTTTCATTCCCCAAAAGTTTTATGCTGGGATTATAATGAAGAGCCTCAGAGCAAAAGGAGACCCAAGATGACTTTGGCATTTATTTAAAATAGTTTAGATTTCAAAAGTATGATGATCATCTTATGATATGCAAATACTTCCATATGCTTATTAAAACTTGCAATAGATAAAAGTTGCTAAGGAGATGGTATTGGGAAATTGGGAGTAATTGATACTCCTAAGGAGCAATGAGACAACAGCAGGCTCGACGAAGGTGTTTTGCGAAGTGTAGGCCCTGAGGGATATATGTAGCTGAGTGCTTATAAAAATCTACTGCGAAAATAACCTTACCCTTCAAGTTTGCTCAGAAAAAGAGACATTACTTGGAACTATTCCTTTTTATTATCTACAAAGTAGGAGTAAGAGGGGTGAGGAAGACAAGTTACATGAAGCTTTTACAATGAATGGGAAATGACTACGGATTGTATATTCTATACAGGTAACATATGTTGTTAAAGATAAATACTCAATATTCATGAACGATGAAAAGGATGTTTCCCTAGTTGAAAGAGTGGAATTACAGAAAGCCTGCAGTTTGGGGGATAGCTCCTCTTACTAGTCATGACGTATGCACCAATTTCGTAAGAAAATTTATCTCCAGCAGCACCAGTCAAGGGCACAGCTGCCCTGGGCATAGCTGGAAGTGAGGGGTGTAGGGGCCTGCGCCCAGCGATTCCCCTGTACGTCGGCGGGCGCGTCGGGCAGACGGCAGCGTCTGCGCTCTGTGGGGCTGCGGGTCGCAAAGCCTGAGCAGCGGTTTGTGCCTCTGTGGCTCATTATGGTCTTTGCCATGTGAGTGCAAATAAGACAGGAGGACAGGAGCAGCTCTGCAGCCATTTAGATTGAAAGCCCAGGAAAACTTCCTTATGGGAGCCAGGAAGCAGGAACACACTTAAGTTTAAGTGTAGATGTCAGTGTCACTCACAGCTTTAATTGAAGTTCTAGTGGTCACTGAAAAGAACGGTACATTTCTAGCTGCAGCGGAAAGTGAAAATACAACCTAAATGAACCTGAAAGACTTCAAAGCCAGAAGGCAATAAAATGAAAAGATCAGCATGCTGTTTTAAAAAGTGCAAGATAATATAAACCTGATGTATGACAGGTAAAACTTTTAGGCTAGCAATACTAAGAACCTGTAAAAATATGAGGTTTCTTTTTGTTCTCTGTTTGTGTGGTGTGTGTTTTTATATACATGTATATATAAAAATCAGGATAAAGCTGGTCACAGGTCAAGTGAGGACAGATGGCAAGTGCACTTCAGGTGCCTCATCTCTTTGGTATCTGCAGGCCGCAGAAGGTTGCAGGGATAAAGTCTTGTTACCCGGACGCTGCGGCTCTGCTGCCGAGTCCCTGGCGCTGAGCGGGCCGCGGCTGCGCAGGCCGTGATTCAGTAGGATCCTGAACTAGGGGCATGTTATAATGAAGGAATGGAATCGATTACAGAATGAAGACAGTATTACCCATAATACTCTTAGAGATTAAAACAGTGCTTTTTATGTTTACAGGAGGTGCTATATTATTTTTACAACCATATTATGTTCTTAACAGCTATTAAAATATATGAAGTATATGCTTTAACATGAAGACTTCTGTTAATGTAATATCAAATTGCAGGAATAATGGGGGAGGTTCCCCCATATGTGCTTTTTCTAAGGAAAAGAAAAAAAAACTGTAATTTGATCTCTCCAAAATGTTTTAGATAATTATATAATTTTGATGTTTTTCCATTCATTATAATTATTAATTTATATTTTATTACAACTTTCAATATTGTGCCATATTTCAGTTTTAACACTAGTTGATTCTAATATTAATCTGATTTAGAAACCATCTATATTTCATACTTATGGCTAATTCCTTGTTAATTGGCCTTCATGTATATTAATAATGGAATATGTAAATACTTCTATAGACTTTATATCTTTTTTTTTAACTCTTCCTCTTGTGTATTTTAGTTATTTCCAATTATAATGTAAGCAAAACACCTTTGTTAATGTAACACATTGAGCAATGTTGTCATAACATAGGGGACAACACCAATAGTTTTCTGTAAATGAACATTAACGTTGTCACCCTAAATGTGTTGATAACAAAGGAAAGGAATAACCTTTCATATTTAGAAAGTAGTAGTTGAGTGTACCCCAAAGAACTGTGCCCTCATTATTTGAACATAGGTCCTAATCTAGCAAATGCTTGATACTCTGAATTTTATATGTAATCAGTAGGCATATATGCAATGCATAAAGTTAAGCATGTACCCAAGTCCTTGCTGTATCAGCGTCAAATATTCAGGTTTAAAATTTGCTATAATATACTTGAATTCCCTAAAGATGGAGAAATAGGGGCCTTGTATTGAGAGCTGCTGAGCACCTCCTTTTAGCCCAAAGCCATTTAAGAGAGAGTCAGGCTACAAATGCACCTAGTACAACCAGGAACTGCCAGGATGGGAAGCATTTGGCTGCATCATTTGTATAATATGAAAGCTTTTTTTAGGCTTTTTGACCACATATAAGAAAGTGGGCTTAGATAGCTTTGCTATCATTTCTCTTTTTTACAGGTAGGAACTGGAAACTGCCGTGGGTTTGTGTTCGTGTGTGTGTGTGTGTGTAAACACCTACACAACAGAAGTGTATGTGTAAGAACTATGTACCATTTCTGTATCATTTAAATGCTTGTATATTTTTATTTGACAATTTGTTTATAGCTCCCAAGGAGGCACAGTAGTACATTTTTATGTTGAATAAGATCCTTTGGCTTACCATACAAATAAATGAAATTTTAAGCAAACTTGGTACTTTGGTCTTCTAAATGTGACTTTTTTTAAAAAAATTTGGCTTATTAGTGATGTTAACATTTAAGTCTAATATTTTCCTCCCTGTCTTTTTTGAAGAGTTAGTTACCTTATGTACCGTTGATGCCTAAATTCAGTGCTTTTAAATTGGTTTCCAGTGAGGTTGTTACATTTTTTGTTATTTTGTGAGCTTCTTTTTTTTTTTTTTTCTTTTTTTTCCCCCCTCTCTCTCTATTCAAGGTAAAAGGCAGAGGCAAGCTGTTATCTTCTGTTAGCCCATATTGCATTTACAAAGAGTATCTTCTCCACACAGTGCAATTTGGTGTAATGATCCACCAGCAAGGCCAAGTACTCGGTAACACTACTGTGGCATTTGAAGTAAGGCAGAGAGGAGTAAAGTTGTCACAAAACTGCTTGAAACATCTATGTTTTCTGCTGTGTGCAGTGTGTCTGCCCTGAGCAGAGAAAAATGGGCCTGACTATTTCTCTTTTAACATTTTACTTACTCTTACCATAGTGACAGAGTATCACACTGGATGTGTTACCGAAAGAGCAAATACTTACACCTAACTTCCTTCAGAGTGCTAATGGGCCATGTTCCAATTCTGGCTGCGTTAGGGTGACATGTCCGAAAGCACAATTTGGTCTCAAAGGAAACTAAAGTTTTACCTTTTCGCCATGCCCTATACCATTTCTGCATCATCTAATACAGTACTTCCGAGGTTTAGGTCACTGCTTGCTATTTCTCTTCCTTCCTTCTCTATTTTCAAAGTCTTTTTCAGTCTTCTGTGGTCAGCCCAGCAATGATCTTGGCTTTCCTGTCCCTGCTGTCTGCATGCACCAGTTTGGGAGCTGTCTGCTCAACCAAACCAGTTGTCTGCCTGGTGATGAAACTCTTTTCTCACTTGCTCAACTCTGTGGTATGTTGGACTTGGTCAGGCTGTCTTTGAAGTCAGGAATAAATCTCCCATTGATATCCATGAGAAAAGGTAGGGCCAGCTGTAAAACAGGAGTGCTCGGTACAGCGTTTCTTCTCTGGCCAGGAAATAGCTACTAGCAAATAGCTGCTGGGGTCCTTCTGAAGATGGGATGGTGCAGGGGAGGTCCAGGTCCATGGGTTGCCCCTCTAGATACTGAAAATATTCCAGG